AAGGAGGTATTGATCTACTCAGTAAATGCTGAAAACTTTGTGATTCTTCACATAGCTGCAGTTGGGAGAACTGATGTCCAAAATATTAGATGTTTCCCTGATATGTGCTATATATTTTAGAGGCTATAGAAGTATTTGTATCTTAGTAGATTTTTCCACAGTATAGGCCAGCTTGAACATGAACTAAAGCCACAAAGCAGTGTAAGGCTGTCCCAGGACTTCCTATTTTAAGACCTTTTAAGCTGCTTTTAACTGAAATTTCCTATGCTGGGAAGCTCTCTGTCTGAATCCTTTTTTGAAAAGTGACTCGGCAATAAGTCAATGGAGAAACTGTTACTTTGTGAGTGTTAAGAGTGTCTTCTGGTGCTGGTGAAAGAGGTAAGCTATATATTGGAAAATGGTCTTGAAGTTTCAGGGTGACCACAGTCACAATAGCTCCACCTGACCCACAGCTGGGAGGGGGACAGCACTGTCCTGGGAAGAGGGATTCTCCATCACAACCTGTGCCCATAGCCTGGATAAGGAGCCCAACACCTTCATGGAGCAATCCTGGCTCTGCAGAGAGACCCAGCTGCTGGGCAGAGGGCAAGCGGAAGGTTTGGCACAGGGGGCACCTGTTGAGATGCAGGGGGAAGCTGGCACAGCAAGGGGGGCCCTGTAGCAGGGCTCCACAGGGGTGGAAGATTTCACTTTGGGAGAAACGGACAGTGGAAGCAAGAGGCTTATTTTTAGTATTTCTGTTGGGCTGGATCCAGAAAGCCAGATGAGGCTCGTTCTGATAGGCAAATGTGTTTTAACTGGCTTCAGCAAACCCATATGTACATCTGAGGAGTTATGTTTCCCCAAAGTAAATTCTCCTGATGTGAGCTTCCAGTCTGAAAAAGTGGTTTAGCTACAGGACCTTCTTGGTAAGCACATCTGCTCTACAAATTTGTGCAGCATCACATCTGCCAGATAATTTAGCAAAACCTGCAGAGGTCTGGGAAGGGAGGAAAAAAAAAAAAGATGGATTCATTTCTGGCTTGCACAGTGCCAACAGAGTGAACTCAGGACAAATTGTGGCTTGCAACTACCTAGAAGATACCTAGATTTTATCACCATACCTAGCTTTTATCGCCATGCAACTGGGTAGTTCTGCTGAGCAGCACATTGAGGAGAAGAGGAGTGCCAGAAGAGAGACCTGAGCTAGGATCTGAGCCTTAGGGACACCAAGGAAGATCCTGCAGCTCTCTGAGTACAGGATCACTCTGCTTTGACCTTAACCAGTGATTCATGTGTTGTTACAAGGCTTTTTTGTAAGAATCTTTATAGAGGGAAAACCTACCACAACTACTACCAGCACTCAAACTGTGTGCCTGAAGACCAGCTTCTTGCTGACTCCTGTCTGACCCCAGTCCTAGGGGCATCTCAGTAGCTTCTGTTCCAGCTGGTCCTTCACCAGACTGCAGCAAATTCCCTACACCTGGTGCCATATCTTGGCTCTGCAGTTCATCGGTATCTCTGGGTTAATCCCTACAATTGCCCCTGTTCTCCAACCCAATCTCCAACAATAGTGCTGGCAGCTGACAAGGAGGAGGAAGAGGAAAGGTGCCATCATGGGAGCTGTAGGAGGGACTTTGGGGCAGAGCTGGAGGGAATGAGAAATAGATTGTGTTGTCAGTGCAGAGATTTCAAAGGGTTTCTTGCAGGGCTGTTTCTTCTGCCATCTCTTCCCAGTTATGCACACACCCACATGCAAGTGCTCCTGTGTCACTGTTTACTACTTAGCCTGTGACAGGGAAAGTATTTCTCTCCTCCTAGGCTACAACAGCCGACAGTTAGCCTTCAGTAGCATAATGACCAGCCAGTGTGAAACTGTTAAAATTGCCTCATAAATAACTCTTAATGCACAGAGAACCAGGAGTTGTTGTTGCTCATAGATAAATTACTTGCTGCCATTATGGAGCATTAAACCATGGCTAATATGGAGGTCTCCGTAGGGGTTTCATTAAACACCAGAGGTTTCCTATAGATTTAACCATTGGGGAGCTACACAGCTCTTGCTGCTTGTCAGCTCTACTGTGTTAGAGGTTATGCACTTCTGCACAGGAGGACCAGGGATGCTAATGGACAGGAAAATACCTCCTAATGAAAAAAGGAAACAAAAAGTCCCAATATTGCTAAGATTCAGTGACAGAATATTGTTTGTAGCAAGCTTTTTGTTCTCTGTAGAGTTTGGAAGGTGCTTCTTTTTGCACTAAGGGGAGTGTGATTGGAATTGGATTTCTTCCAGTCAAGAAGGAGAAGGGTACCAGTGCAGGCTGGTTTTTAACATGGTGGCTTCCAAATCTCTGCAGTTAGCTAGGTCGGAAGAGACGTGCTGTGATGTGTGATGTGTTCGTGTGTTGTCACTTGCAGATCAGAGCTCATGCAGAAATGTCTACGCATGTCCCCATCATGCCCCCACGCTGCCTGGTAGAGGCACCCTCTGCCATCTCCTCACCTACATCCCCATGACCATGCGACCCCCCTGGCCCAGGGCTTCAGCTGCTGCCTTCCTTGCACCCAACCATTGCCACTGAATGGTGTTAGAAGCCCCCAGGCTCCCTGGGATCAAGGGAGATGAGAACTGAACCCCTGGGTGGTCTGAATTCTCCACTGGTTATGGACTGCATTGCGGTGGCAGCGCTATGCCCAACGTCACTGCTCCCGGACCGGTGCAGGGCAGCTTGCAGCGTGCAAGCGGCTTGTGTGTGCTCGTGCTTGCAGAGCACGGATGCCCTCCTACAGCTAAGGCCAGAAGAACAGATGGTGCCCAGCAGATGAGATTTGGGAAGGCTTAATGACCACTATGAAAGTATTTATAGCTTCCTCTTGTAAGAAACTTTTGGTAAGCAATTACCACTGGTACTAACTGTATTTCTAAAGTGTGCTTTTCCATTTTTATGACCTTTTCTATTGCTGCTGTAATATACATAATTTTAATACTAAAATCTTTAAATCACTATTTATTTTTTTAATATGCTCAGTATTAGTGTTATGTCGAATATATGTCGTCTTTGGCAGTCTAGTGAAATTGTTCTTATTCTCAAAGCTATTGTAGCTGTCATTCACATGTAATTAATGTGACTACACCATTGATGACTCTACTGACATTAATTAGAGGTGTGAATAGGAATTCACACCCAGCAATGTTCCCCATTGGGTCTCCATTTCTCTCATTCCAACCCACTGTTTCAGCTGAGCAGTGGGTGGACAACAGCAAAGTAAAGTACATAAGCGTGATCTCATTGTGGCTCCATGAACACTGCATCCACGGGAAAACTGGGAAAACTATAGCTTTTCTTCTGTACAGTTAGTACCTGCTGGAAGTTGTACCATTTTATGGGCTGAACAATTCACTGTGCAGTGTTACAGATAACTGAATGCAAAAAGGGAGAGCTGTCGTGTTGCCAGCACAGCCCTGGTGACATCCAGCCATCCCTGTCTTTGTGTTTGTATAGGAAAATTGATGAATAAGTGAGCCTTGCTGCTGTGCCTTTCTGTGCGAGGAGAAGGTGCAGCTGTGGCTGGGATACCAGTGTTACATGGGATGAGTGCAACTGCTGTCACCATCTTACAGGTGTCAGAGCACTAGCTGTTGGGAGAGGATTGGTATTGACTGGCAGATAGTCTGAATCTTACTCTATGATTGCTTAAGCTCTCTATAGACTGACCAGGTGTTCTGAGAGTTGTTCAGGGGACCCATGCTCCAGCTCCAGCCACCCAAGTGAGCTGAGCTGGTCCCCACAGCAGGGTGGGAGCGCTCGTGGTGCACGCCTGCCTTGGTCTGCTGGCTGGAATCTGCCCATGCTCCCTTCTGGGCAGCAGAAAGGGCTGTGAATCACACTGAAAAGGAAAAAGGATTAGGATAGGACATGGCTGGGCACTGCTTAGGAGTCTCATGGTTTAAGCATAGCTTGAGCCTCCCTCTGGAATAACCAATTTGTTTCATTGATCATCCTAGAGAAACACACCTTCTGGCATTTGGAGACTAAATTAGGTGATGTGATTACTCCTTTAAACCCAAATCAGATGCTAATCCTTCAGGCACCCTGATCTTTCCAGCTTCTCTTCCATTCCATCCTCAAAGTACAGATTAAAAAGGTGAACTATTATTACTTAAACAGTTTTAAAACTCTGATTATTCTCCTGACTCCCCGTTTCTGCCTCAGCAGGATAGAAATAATGTCCACTGAGTCTGGAGCAAACCCAGCACCTTCCAATAGAAACAAGCCACATGAGATCTGATGGGAGAAGATAGAGGGAAAAATAATTAACTGTGCTACTAAGTAATCAGGAATTGTAATCCCTACCTGCAGCTGGGCTGTGTTTAGCTGATACGAGGAGGACATCATTCAGTTTAGCCAGTCCCACAGCATCCCCCAGCGTCCTGCCAAGCCCTGCCTGAGATTTTGCCCTTGGTTCCATTCCCTGGGCTGAAGGGGGCAGGATCTGGCCTGGTGGTGTTACCAACTCCAGGTGATTTTTTTTCCCCTGTTGTGAAATACTTATGTACAAAGCAGGTAAAGAGAATGTGCAGAAATACTGCAAGTCTTCAGAAATATTTTATTCTGGTATCTGCATAACACAGTCTGCCCTGGTGAGGTTATTGCAAGGAATAACTTATGAAAGAGCATTCAGTGGCCAGTTATTTTAAAGTGCTCCCAATCTTGTTTAGTTGTGATAAAGAGAATAAATAAAGAAATGCACATATTCACATCCACACAAAAGCCAAAATCACACGTGGCAGAGATAGTCAGAAACAATAAAGTCCAAGATTGAAAAACGAAAGAGAAGGACAAAGCCTTGTGGTTTAATATGAAGGAAAATATATGGCAGAATCTTTCATCTCTGACCATGTTTGCAGCAAAGTAATAAGATACATTGGCTCTGAATGGAAAAGATAAGAGACTAGGATAAACAAGCTTCAGTACAACAATCATGGGAGCTAAATTATTGCCTTGTTTTTATTACTACAGGCACAGAAAAGCAGTGGGAAGATGGAGCTGCAGGGAAAAACTCCAAGAGCCAGCGGGATGGGCTGCTAATACTTGGGTATGTTTTTAGAAGGCTGAATGTTTGAGATTTTCCTCCTGCAAAACCACTGGAATAACGCTGCCTATGGATAGCTTGAATGCCTGGAAACAGTGGCTGTAGGTTACAGATTGTTGTACTTTAACCTGGCAGGACAGCTGAGCGCTGCAGAGCCAGGTGGGGGAGAGAATCACAAAAAGGTAAAACTTGTGGGTCAAGATAAAGGCAGTTTAAGGCAGGAAAGGCAGAAAAAATAATAAAATCCTAAATCCAACACACTGGCACTGTACCAGCCACATCAAGTTTATCCCAGCGGAAACCAGGATGTAGATATAAATAAAAATGCTGGGAAAAAGGGCTTTCCTGAAGCAAACTTGTAGATGTGTGCAGGGTCTGGAGGTTTCTTTCTCCCATGTTAATGCTAGGGAAATAGAAATTAAGCTAGAATGATGTTTTTAGGTGTAGAAGCATACTGCTGAGTTCCTGACTTTTCATGCAGTTTCCTAAAAAAGTAGGCTGATTTTTTTGACATGCTGAGCAACTTGTGAAGCCAAGTGGAAATATGGAGACTAATGGGTCACTAATGTGAGGAGGGGCGGGGATGAAAGGCGCTGTATGAAAGTTGCTATCATGTGGTTGCTTTGTCTCTATTGACATCCAGACTGCCCCTGGACCTTAAGCAAGTGTAAAGATACAAGTCTTGGACAGCACTACTGGGCTTCTTGGGCTCATATATCCAGGTCTGAACTTCTAAATTTTACCTGTAATAATTAGTCCTTCTAGCTAAGGAAGAGCTTCACCTCACTCCTAGGACATGAGTTTGTTTGCCTGTGTTACTTAGCTGGCTGCTGGGGGAAGAGTCAGGAAGCCCAAAGAGGCATCGGGCAGACATGCCAGGTGCAGCAGGGAGCTTTAGACTTGCAGCCAAACATTTTGGCTTTCAACCTCTTTTCATAGCACGTCAGACCAGACTTTGACCAAAACTTCTGTGCTTTGTCCAACCCAGTTTAGGGGATGTCTGGATCCTGAGGCGACGTCCATCCATGCTCTTAATTCATTCCTGACGTGGTCTTCTTGTCTCCACACCAATCCCCAGTGCCCACTATTGTGCAAGGTCCCTGATGTTGTGTTTCCATCCACACTCAGTCTGCTAAGAGGTACCTGAGGATGCAGTTTTCTCCTTACAATAACACAACGTTTTATCTGGGTCAGGAAACTTTGCAGCCCAAATTGTGATGTAGCTGATATTGCCTTCCTGTTATGTTGCGTCTTCTGCCACAGTGACTGCAGTCTCCCAGGTTCTTTCTTACAGGAGGTCTCCTTATTTATCAGGGGAGAGAGAATATGACAAATTCAGCCACATTTTGTCACAAGGAGCATGTAAAAGATTTACCTAAAGAGCAAATCTTCCTGCTTTCCCCCTTTGCCACTAGTGCATTTGAAGATCTGGCCTCTCCAACTCCCCTAGGTGGGATTGCTCCATAAGAGCATCTAAGTGCTTTCAGTTTGGGCCATATTAAAATATGTGGATTAAAGCAGCATTTCAAACAGTCTGAGAAAATAATAATAATAAAAAGCTTCCAAAGGAACTACTGAAATGAAGAGAGTTCCTGGAACTGAATGCAGTTATATCAAGTGGTGCACTGGCACTGACCCATCCGGGCAGCGGTTCCCGAGGTTAGGAGCAGCCCCAGCCTCTGAGGCTGGATGGACCCTTCCTACATTTTTTTTAAAAGCAAAGCCTGCCACACCTCATGACCTGTCGTTCATGCCAGCATTATTTGATCCCAGCATCTCAACACATGTGGTTGTGGTATTTCCAGGACTTTTCCATCAGCTCATGATGCTCCTTTACCTGAGTTTCTCCTGTTTGGGCTTATGTCCACGATCTGCAGTCACTCTTCTAGGACAGGTCGGCTGGCCTCTGAAGGACAGTATAGGCAAGTGTGTAATGCTATATTTGGGTGCTAAAATTACAGCACACTTCAAAAACAAAGTGTTCTTTTTTTTTTTGGCAGATTTCCTCTTTTACTGAGAGTATCATGATTTCAAGCATCTCAATTCCAAAACACTAGAGCTGAACATATTTTTTCATGTGAAGTGATTGTTTCTATGACATCAAAATATTTAATTCCAGTTTTAAAAATGAAACTTTTTATTTCTTTTGAAATGGCCATTCAAGAAAAAAGCTAAGCATTTCATTGTACATCACCTCAATTTTATCAGATTGCTTCTTTTGTAAAACAAAGTTTCGTGCAGTTGACAAGCACGTTTAAATTTAAATAGCTTCTTTCAGTTTGAGATTTCTTTAATGAAAAAAAAATCCTGTGGGTTCTATTTAAAACCTGCTGTTATGTGCATTTAAGAAAAAAAATCCAACCAAAAAGTGTCATGAACCAGAATGTGTTTTATTCACCCCGACATAAATTGCAGGTATAACAATGCCCGTGAGAAACAGTGAACTGGAGAGAATTTTTCAAGCACTTCACTGTGCCAAGAAAACTGTATACTCATCAGTTACTCCTGCCACAGCTCAAGATTTCTGAAGTAGGGATATTAAACAGTTTGCAATAAAGTCCAGAGTCAGAAATCACCTCGTTTAATTCTGAATAGGAGGTGAAGACCAGGCTCTCTGAGAGGGTAACAGAGATTCCTAGACTCTGTGCAATGGCACTCTCAAAGAGGACTTTAAGGTCCTTTATAATAGCATTGGTTGCTTTCTTATGTAGAGGGATGGGGTGGGGGGGAGGGGAGGGTGACAAGAAAAGAAGTGGGTATAACCAATGCTGGAAAATGGTCTGGCTCTCAAGCGTCAGAAATTGGGGGCATAATTTCAGGGAACTCCAAATTGTGGGTGATAACACAGATCTGGAGCTTCAGTCCATGATTATCAAGCCTGCGAGGGTTTGCCTGGGAGCAAACTTCAGTTTGGAGCATCACTGTGATATGCTCCCCCAGAGTCGGGAAGGTTATTCCTCAGATGCTTCTTCCCTCAAAGACTGGCACTAAGCATCTTGACATTAAAGAGTGTATTCGAAATATATATATTGCATACACTGGAATGTGTATTTCTGATTAGCATAAAATCCTGATAGTTTTCCAACATTTTAAATATAGGCTCATTAAACTGTTTTGCACGTTAATGTTGTGAAGTTTGGGACACATCTTGTTTACATAGAGGAAAGTTGGATAAGGTATCCTAATTGCTTGGAGATTTCATAGTGATTCCCATCTAGACTATAAGTGCTACATACCTTTGCTCTCATTCCTGCACCTAATCATTTTGACTTCAAATGGGACTTTCTATAATTACTCTGCAGATGGGGACATGGAGCAGGGATGACAAGATGCATCATTGGAAAAAAGTCCTGGCCAAGTCTGTAGTAAATCTTAATGCTGGCTGTGGGTGTGACAAGCTGGATTTTTGCTTGTTGACACAGTTGATTCAGGCTCATTTGTTTTCATCTTTAAACAGATTTCTAAGTTTTACCCGGACAAAAACTACTTCCAGAGGAGGGGTGAACATCAATTGTAAAGGGAAATTATTTTTAGCCAAATTCTGGAGTCTTGATATACCTCAGTTTTCACTTTCTCAGCACATTTGTTCAATTTTATTAGGTCATTTAGCAAATAATTTTAATTTTCTGCTTAGATCTGAATTTCTGAAAGTAATGTACTGATGTACAGTTAATGAGTCTGCTAATAAGCTCCAAGAAAATGTGATTTGCAAATCATTCCAGGACATAACTGTCACTCAGACCCTATGCCAATTAGCATAACCATTAGCAACTATCCCTAAGAGGTCCTTGAAATTTAAATGAGATTTCCTAAGATCCCTTTTACTAGGGACGTCGAAGATTCTGCCTCATAGGGAAAATGAAGCCTGGTAAAAAGCAATAATTCATTAAAGGCAGAGTACGTCTTTATACATAAATGCCCACCTGGGTTTCTGAGAAGCAGCAAACACTCGGTGTTTGTTTGCCCTTACAGTGATGTCAAGATGTGCCATGGCCGACTACCTCCCTGAGCTGCAAGGAGTTGCTGCTGAGACAGGAATACAGCAATAGAACATAAGGCTTTTGGTACAGGTATGAAAAAATGTTAGAAATCCAGTGGCATGTAGGGAGCGATATTTTACCCATAATGTTCTTACAGAATCTTGGTGGATTCAGTGAGCTGGTGGTCTTAGTGTCTTGGTGGATTTAATTTTCTTGCAAAACAGCTTCATAAAGTTTCTGTCAAACTGTGGCCAACGTTGCAATGCTTTTGGGTGCTGCAGGGACAAGAGCTCCTCTGGGCACAGAATTTCACCTGGCTGCAGTTCCTTCCAGATGCACATCCCAAAGGCTGTGCTCTGACAGCTCCATTCCAGAGAAAGCACTTTTGTCAAAACCTGGCTTGTCTGATCTTTCCTTCTCCTGTCTACTAGTTCGTTGGGTTCCCAGAACCAATTCTGTCACAAGTTGTAGAAAGAAGCAGGGCTTTGAAGCTTTAAGATAACAACCTGACAGAGGTCTTGCACAGCATTGCAGAGATATCTTGCTGCTGGGAAAACTTTAGCCAGATCTAGCAGGCAAATACAGCACTGCAGATGGGATGCAAAAGCTTTTGACTCAGGAGGAGACTGCTTAGGTTTAGGGGCATAAAATAAAGCATGAAATTTTAGGCAACTTAAAAACCTCGCAGAGGTATTAGTGAAGTCACTCCTCTTTTAATCTTGCCTCATCTCATTTACAAAATGAGAAATCCCCATGCCTGCACCTGATTTGTCAGCTTGAGCCAGGTGGTCCCTAAAGGCTCCCTGTGTCCAGAGCTGGACTTCAAAAAAGCAGCTTCAAAATCTGCCTAGATGTGGTCCTGAGTGCCCTGCCTGAGCAAGGGGCTGGGCCAGACGGGTCCCTTCCCACCTCAACCAGTCTCTGTGAGGCCTGCTGCATTCTTATAACCCATGAGGGCATGGCCTTCATGAATTTGTCAGGCACGAAGCTGAAAGCTCTCCCTGCTTGATTTTAGCAGCAGCTGTAGGGCATGGTATGGAAGGATGGAGCTGGACCCTGATGGCAAGGGTGCAGAGGCCTGAACTCCTGGCTGCCAGCCTGACCCCACCTCACTTTTAGCTGAGCAAGTGGACATGAAGCACAGGAATAAAGGAAACAAAGGTCTAGCAGCTGATATGGGTCATCTGGGAGAGATTCAGCCAGCTAAGTGAATGAACAAAGCAGGTAATAGGCTTGGGTAAAAGAGGGAATAAAGTTCATCAGGACCAAGGCATTGCCTGTAGCATCAAGCCAGGACCTGACTGATTAGAGAAGGTCTCAGAGAGCTTTCCAAGCCTCTGTTTTCACTGTTGCTGCTGGAGCTTGAGCATCTGTGGGGAGGATATTGGCACAGCCAGATATTTGCCCTAGCTTATGTTGTCTCACCAAGGCTCTCCTGGGCAGGAGCAACCCTTCCTGAGCTGTCAGACAGCAGTTGTAGCTCACCAGACACCACAGCTCAGGCTTGTCAAGGCCCAAATGCCAGGGCTCTTTATTTAATAAGAACACCCTATGGAAATTTCTTTTTTTTTCCTGTAGCAGGCCTAGGAGGATGGTTCTTACACCATTCCCAGTTCAGGCCTTACACTATGGTTGTCATTATCTTGGACACATTGGCTGTTGATGGATGATCATTTGCCATATTTTTTTCTCTGGAAAGGAAAAGCCAAAGGCATATAAATCATATTTTCATGCAAGAGACCAGGTACAGATTTTTTGGTATTTGTCCGTAATTGCCTTCTCAGTTTTTGTTAGACAAGAAAGGATATTAACGGGATTGCGCAATGGCCAATTAGTTTTAAAGGTCTTTAGTTCCATTACTTATCTGGAATAATTTGTAATCTTCCTTTGACAAAGGCAGCCGAGGAACCCTTTTTGATAATAACACTAAATCAGGCTGCTAGAGCACATACCGATTAACATATACAAGGGATGTTACACCAAACAGAAATTCAATTTAATAGATCTCACAGTTCCAGCCATATCCCAATTATATTTCTATCCTTCTGCAGACTTTCTGTTTTACCCTCTTATCCCCATCTTCAGAGGTCTCAGCATGAATTTATCATGTTTCCTCTTGCTCTTGTTCATATGCAGCCTGCTTGCAACCTACCACTTTTTTTTTCATTAAGTTCTCTGATCTCTTCTTTCTGTACTGATCCCTTATGATAATGCTAGCTGCAGAGATGAAGGTCATTGTGTCACCAGCAAGGTGGGAGAAGGCAAGTGCATACCTGGGCCATTGCCTACCTCCTAGAGATGCGGTAAGCGTGCTGACTTGCTGTTGGTAGGTCATTCAACAGTTAGAAGCTGTAACTGGTAGAAGACGACCAGTTCGGAAGAGGACTTCTCCTTCCACCAAATGGGTCTCAGCATCCTGGGGAGAGGTGGCAGCCCTGGGCCATGGCCCTGGGAGGACCAGTGGGCTATTCTGCAGCTCGAGCAGAACAGAAGAAATTTAAGAGCAGACCCCTTCACGCTCAGACATGGCACCAGCTATTTGCTCAAGCCCTTTCCAGTGCTGCAAGCTATAAGATCTTGAGCATTTTCTAGCTGCCAGGCTTCATCTCTGTTTTAAACGATTAGAAGACAGATGAATACCTGTAAATTGATCTTTTGGAAGAAGTATAATATCACTACCCATACTCTAATACAAATAGGATTTTTTTATTTTTTTTCCTTTGACTACTGGAAAGGGTTTGAGAGGAAAAAAGCATTGAGAGGAACAAAGAAAGAGCACAGGTTGAAGACTCCCTAAATAGAACCAATAGTATCCCCTAATAGGAAGTAAAATCCTCATTAACGAGCTGTTATTGTGCTAAACAGTAGAGGCTGAAATCAGTTCAGAGGAGCTGAGCCACTGAAGTGCTTCTGCAGACAAAGCACGTTCTTGTGATGGGACCTGCCTGTCTCTGCCAGCTCCGAGCGCTCCTGAACTTCCTCTAGGCATAGCAGCATAAATTGGTTTTGTCAACTGAGAGTGCTGTTTTCAGTGGAGGTTTTCTCCTCTTTATGGTGTGTAGATTGCATCAGCTTTTTATATAGCGTGGGAGACAACTAAATGCTGTCCAAGCCCCATTTGGCCATAGCTGCATCATGAAAAAGAAGACATGACAACTTGGCAGCCAAAAGTGTCAGAGGAGTTTAAGTCTGTGTCTTTGTCTCTCTTTCCCATAAACCTGTGCTGGAGAGAGCAGCAATGTGACAATACCTCTGTTTCATCTTATTTCCTTTTGTTGATTTTTTTTTAATGTATTTTTTCATAAGCTGGGAAACTTTCTTAACAGCACTTCTGAATGTCACCCATCTGAATGCAATGCCACGGGGACCGAAGTCAGCTGTTGCTTCTCCCTTACTGCTAGTGAGCAGCTGCCTGAACACCCAGCGTTCAGCTGGGGTTGGGTTCTGGTGCCTGCTTCATGCTGACTGCTGGCTCTTTCTGTAGGTACACAGGCAACAAAACCTGACAATTTATAAATAAATAATTAATCAAACATGAGGGAAAATGTTGAATTGGTGCATCTCTATTACTTGGTGGGCTTGGGGGTTTGTTGGTTATTGTACAGATGTATGAATTCAGAGAAATTTAAATATGTCTGTGTGCCAGTGAGCTAGCAGAGGAAATGAGGATTTAGTTTTGACTTTGAGTGCAAAATGTTTTGTTGTTGTTGTTGCTTACCTGAGGAGTGACTGGAGCATTTCTTCCCTTTGCCAACCTTCCCTGTGCCAGAGACCGCTTCTGCTAGTAAGGCCTGCCCTGCACAACATGTTAGTGCTGGGGGCCAGATGCCTCTTTTGGGACCCACCTCTCTCCGAGCAACCCAAGATGTGTCTGGGCACTTGAGGCCAGGTGGCCACGCAGCCAAAGCGAGCTGCTGGTGAGGAAGTGCAGTTGGAAATGGGCTTCAAGTGTTGTCCCATGCATGAGGCACCAGCTTTGCAGAAAACATAAATGCCATCTCTGTGTCTTGAGAGGGAAAGCCAGCTGCAGTCTGAATGGTTTCATCTGTCCCCCTGGGTGTATCCCAGGGGCCACTGCTGGGCTGTGCTGGCCCAGGCTTCGCAAGAGGCACTGCTTCTGCCCACACAGCCCTAATGCGGCAGTTTGTGGCCAACCCAGTTGTCTGACAGCACAAAGTTTATGGAATCAAGCCTGTCTGCCATGTCTCCCTAATGATTTTTAATTCAGCAGCTGATTTCAAGCACATCCTGACATCAGGTAGGAGATCTCAAAGATAACTACACTTCTGCAGGTTTCATGAAAGCAGACTTAGGTTAAAAAATATGAAAATGGAAAAGAAAAAAGAACGAGTATGAAAGGGCTGACAGAAGGAAAGGCTTCTTATTCATGAACTTAACCCTCATAAGGCACCTAAGACCACTGCGAGACTGCAGGAAAAGCTCTGGCCAATACTCACACTTCACAGCCATTGGCAACTCCAAACAGAAGCCCCACAACTGCAGGAACCAGGCTTTATCAGTGCCACACCTCATAAAGTTGCTTATTTTGCCCCATGCCTTGCAGGATTTACTGTCACCTGATCCACGTGTGATGCAGAGCGTTGACCTGGGAGTCATGAATCCACAGCCTCCCTTTCTACCTCTTCCATGGTGACAAGGTGGACTGATTTCCATCCAAGTGATTTAAATGAGCCACCAGGGAACCTCGATTTAAATCATCGATGTTTGCTTTTTACATTGGCAGGAAAGGCAGCTTTAATGATGTATGGTCCTACTGCTGTGGCTGAAATCTAAATTCCTGGAATATTCCAGCTAGATAATCTCTAAAGTTCATGTATTTGCCTCTGGCTAGCGAGCTGCACACACAAGGGAGTGAGTTGTTGGCAGGCTGGGCTTGGAGCTGCAGCACTTGTATTGGCAGCATGAAATAGGCAGCTCGGCACGGGGCTGCCAGGCAGGGAGGTGTGTGGGACCTCTCAGCTTCGGTGGAGCAGAGGATGAAAAGGGAGAGGGCTCCCAGCAGAGGGAAATGCAGGCAGGGCTGCAGGAGGAGGAGGGTGCGTGCCCAAGCCATGCCCACGGTGTGGAGCAGGGACCTGCAGGGGCAGAGAGCAGTCCAGATGCTCACGCAGGAGCAGGACGAGTCACGTGCAGCCTATATAAATTTTGTATTTCCAACCTGGATATGAAGGTATTCAAAGCAAAATTTCAAGTCTGGATGGATGGGCAATTAATGGGCATAAATGTGTTATGAAATGAAAAAAATGGTGTCTTTTTCATGGAAAACCTTGACATTTCTTGATACTTAATTAGTAGACAGATGGTTGATATTCAAGCTTTCTCTTTTCTGCTAGGTAGAAGACTGCTGTATACCTAGACAAACTTGCCTGAATGAGTATGTTGTTTAACCATATATTAACCAATTCTTCATCTTTGCATTTTGCAGTGGTAACTGACGTACTTTACTAGTGAAGAATCAGCTTCTCACACCTAATTGTTCCAGGTTGTACTTGGGTAGGTAGTGGAAGTCATGAATGTGAAAAGACAGCATCTTATCTTTGTGTTTTATTCACTAAATACCAGTTCATCAAAGCCCTTTGTGTAAAAGACAATGAAAGAGGGCAGTATTTCTGGTCATCTTGTGATGTGACTGTAGAAAAGATGATAGACCTTTTTTGCTCACCCTTATTTTATACCCTTGCATTGAACAGATTCCTAACCACTGGTTGAACAAGCTGAAATCAAGAAAAAATAGTTCTTTACTATTTGCAACAGTGACGGTGAGTTTATGCACTTTGTGAACATCGGTTCTGGGGGAGCCAGGTTAGTCAGGTCTGACCTCCTTTTATCGGCAGGGACAAGCATGGGGCATCCTGATGGAGCGCTTTTAGCTTCAAGTCTGTAATAAATCATAGGAAGCTTACACAGTCAATGTTCTGTCTTTGACTACACATAAACTTCTTTTTTCTTCTTTTTAAAACAAAAAGTATTTATGGTTTGAAAATCCAATAGTGCTTTTGAAAAGTTGTCTTTTAATTTCACCTTTATCCCTGCTGGTGAGCATTTACAGCTGATTTATCCTCTTTCATATTTCATTTTTTCCATCCGCAAATGTGTGGATGGATGTGCTTACCATATGTGTACAACTCAGTGGGATTCCCTAGCTCTAAACCTTCAATTAATCCTAACTACTATTAGTTCTTTATTGCAGAAGACACTTTTCACACTGTCCATTATCGAAGCAGCACGCTGCACAGCTCATTGTCTCCTTTCCATTGCGTGCAGCATCCCCTGCCTTTCCAGCTCATGCCGAGATGATTAGCACCACCTGACACAACAGCTTCCTGAGGAATTCTGTGAATGCAGTGTGCTACAGAAAGCCTTGCAGTGAGGAGAAACACAAACACGCCTCACCCTCACCTTGGAAGGAGCTTGATGCCGTGTGTTTTGAAACCAAGCACTTGATAATGTGGAGTACCCTGGTCTTCTCCATCTCCTGGCCCCATCCCTGCAGCCATGGCAATAGTTTATCCTGCAAAGCGTGGGGCTGGCACTGAGCATAGTGCATGGCTCTTATCACCAACAACAGGTAATCTGAGGAGTGGGAGCCTTTTCTCTCTGCCTGCTGCAGCAGTGCGGAGTGTGGTGGAACCACCAGTGCTGGTCCCCCTGCGCCGTTCCCCTCTCCTCCTCAGCTGCCTCCCCTCCTCGAGCTGTCCTTCACACAGGCACCAGCCAACAAGAGGGTAAAAAAGACTAATATTAATAATTGCATTATGAGTTCCAAAGCCAGGAAGCTTGACTGGCCTTTTTATCGCTGATATGATAATGTGGTGAGCAGAGAAGATACCATCAGAAGTTGCTTTCATCTCTGGAGATATTTAATAAACTAGATATCTATTTTGGTCTCAGCAAGGATTCTCATTGAAGGCATTCCTGAAAGTCCTAATCGCTCTGGTTCATATGTGTAGTTTGAAACTTGTTAACACCACGGTCCCCCTCCCCAGCAGGGTTCAGCAGCACAGGGCTGTAATTGTGGAGGAGCTTCAAAGAGCTCTGCTCCTGCCTCCTTGTGATGCTGAGGGAGGCTGGGCACCAGCGCTCATTTACCAAGCTACCTGTTAGCAGCAAACATAGCTATTAAAGGATATCTATTTCAAACACTGTGACCAAAGACCAGAGTAACACTTTGGCCTCTATGGCTCTTTTCATGTGTGGATCTCAAAGTGCTTTGGCGTTACTAATTTGAAGCAGAAATTTTGCTAATTAGCGTGGATGTCTGGGATGGAGGGCTGTGTTTTGCAGATCAGCTATGACATGCACAGTCCTGATTTACCATCAGATGAAGGATATCGTATGGCTTTGTTCATTTGTCTTAAAAAGCGCGGTTCACTTTGGTTACAAGGAAGGATAAGCAGCAGTGCTCTACACCATCAGGTCCCTCACAGGGGAAGCTGCATCTTAATTTTGAAACGTGTATCCAATCCCTCTCTCTCCCCAGAGTTACATGGGTGTGGAGAAGGTGAACGATCTCTAAGTGGAGACCTGAATTTTCCCCTCTGCCATCTCTGATGTCAGTTGCTGGCAATTTTTCTGCAGATAACTTGGGTGCTGAACCTGACCTAACAACCACAGAAAGTTTTGTGTGCTGTATGTTGAAAAAGAGGATTTTGATGAGGGAACATCTGGGGAAGGAAAGGCAGGTCCAGCACCAGTGCTTATTACTGGGTGCTGGTGCTTACTGGGTTGTGCAGGAGCTGCACTCACTAACTGATGATGGGTTTTACAGCATGGGCCAACAGGCACTGCAGTCCCCTGGGTGCAAAGCCAGGCCTGCTGTGCAGCCTGCCCTGCCCAACAGCTCCTTACACCACTGCAGCACTTGGCAGGGCAAGGTGGAAGACAGCACGCTGCTTCTTCACCTAGAAAAACTAGTTTGTATTCCATTTCCTTGGCTTTATCCTTTGTTTTCAGCATCCGAAGCACAAGTTTGCTAAACAACACCAAGAAGATCTGCATGGGCAGCTGGGAGAAAAGAAGCCTCTGGATCAGGAGGGCTGGAGATCTTGATGGTGTTTCAAAAAATCATTATCTCTTCAAAGTCTGCCCCTGGGGAAACCAAAGCGTGAGTTTAAATGCAGTTGTGCAGCGATTCAGCTGGCAGAACTGCTGGCTTTGCTATGCCTGATTCAAATCCTTTGCTTCAATTGCTAGACCCAACAAGCAAAGCTTAACAAGTCCCCAAAAAATACAGCGGTATAATAATGAAGAATGCTGTGCAGCACTTAGCAATAGAAAAGCACGGGTAATGAGGGACTTAATTTGGAACATATCATTTGTCAGATAATTTGGAGGCGCATCTCAAAACAGTGCATAAGAATGGAGTTTGCTGCACCAGCTGAAGTCACCCCAAATGTTCTTTCTTTGTTGCAAATCTCTTTTTAAATCTAAGCCTTCAGAAAAGAACCTGGAACCAATAAATGACATAAAAGAATAAATGTTCACAACACATATTTTGGGTTTGGTTCAAACACAATATTAGAAAGCTGAATTAATTATGTTTGTATCAAACCCAAATATATTTTATGAAACAATGAGGACTCTTAAATGACTAACTGCTGCCCAGAATATATTTTCCCTGAACCAAACTGGATAACTGCATATCCCTCTTAAATTGGTCAGGAGAACTGGCTGCCAAATGACAATTCTGTGCCCCATATTTATTCACCATCTGTGACTTCCACATCAATTTGCTCATTTTAAAAATCAAAACTTGATTTTTTTTTTTCTCCCCCCACCCTTCTCTTTTCCTTTCTCTGCCAGAGCTTCAGGGTAAATCCAATGCCTGATAATCAAACTATGTTGTTCTTCCTGCTGCAGAAATGGTTTCTGCTTTTGATGCATGAGGCATGGTGGAGTGGGGCTGGTTCCTCTGCAGCTCTGCTGGCTTTGTGGCATGTGCAGTAGTTAAGACTTATTTGTGCCAAGGGACATAGAATTATAGAATGGCTCAAGTTGGAAGGGACCTCAAAGCCCATCCAGTTCCAACCCCCTGCCATAAGCAGGGACACCACCCACTGCATCAGGTTGGCCAGGACCTTGTCCAGCCTGGCCTTGAGCATCTCCAGAGATGGGGCACCCACAGCATCCCTGGGCAGCCTGTGCTAGGGCCTCACCACCCTCTAAGTGAAGAATTTCCTGCTAACCTCTAGTCTAAAACTCCCATAAAAGCTCTCCATCTGTTTTAGAAGCACCCTTTAAAAACTGACAAGCTGCAATGAGGTCCCCAAGGAGCCTTCTCCTTTCCAGGTTGGTCCTGCTCCAACAGCCCCACATCCTCCTGGTGCTGGGGGCCCAGAGTTGAACTCAGGGCTCCAGGTGGGGCCTGGGGCCTCAGGAGGACTTGTTGCACCTCACTAGGTTCATGTGGGCCCACTTCTCCAGCTTGTCCAGGCAGAATGTGAGGAATTCCCTCAAGTGACCTGTCTTTCCCCAAAAGAATGGTAGAGATTGTAGGAGGTAAGGAGGAAAGGGGATGAGTAGCTTTGGTTTTTTTGTGGCATCATTTACCAACCCAAAAAGCTGCTTTTGCTTAAAAAGTGCCAGTTTATGATGGATGCCACCAGCTCCTAAAAGGAGGAGAATTAGGAAAAAATGGTTCTAGGTACTAGTGATCCAACATCACTACATTCCATCTACTTCTGTTCTTGAAAAGCACATGATGTTTTATGAACAAAGTACACGTGGCACTGCATAGCAAGCCTCTAAGTACAATCCCATGGTCGCTGTCCTGCAGGCAGGGGCAAGGAGAAAGCAGGCCCTCTCTGGGAAAGGGATTAAGCCTGCAGTGTGGCATTTGCTGATTACTCTTTTTTATCTTGTAAGACAAGAAACATTGGGGCACTCAGGGACATTAATGGCAGCTAAATCTGTGACAGGAACTACAAAATGCTGAAATGCTGCTTCATGAAGAATGTAATCAGTCGATGAAAACCCCAGGCTGCTGGGAGGTCAAGGAGCCAAACCTGGTGCTGGATTTAGGGGTGATTCTGGCACCATGTAGTGTATGTGTAGTTACAAGCACTCATCAGAGTAGCCAAAGCTCAGGCTACAAAAGAATAAAAGAAACACAAAATCCTCAAAAGGAATTCCTCGTGCTCTTCTATCTCTCTTTTTTTTTTCTTTTTTTTTTTTTTTCATCCATCCTTTTGCAGCATTGCACTCCTGTTACTATAGTAGCAGACCGGTATTTTTACCCTGAGCTGATATTGGCCACGCTCAGAGAGTAATCAATCCACTACAGCAAAGCCAGCACTCCTGCATTTGAGAAAAGACAGCTGCTATCAAATTGTCAAAGTAGTTCAGGCTGGGCTTAGGGGTCTCAAATTGTAAATAACACCGGTACATTTACATCCCGAGCAGAATTTATGATCGAGCTGCAGATAGACACATTGTCTGGCAATTACATGTTACTGCTGGGCTGATCTCTCACAGTTGCGGAGGGTGGGTTGGTTAACCACTCTTTACATTTGTTTGTTAGAGCTGGAAAGCAGGGCTGCCCAGCACAGGTTTTCCCTGAGTAGCTTGACACGACGCTGAGCTTCATCCAGCCTTCTGGTTGTGTTCAATGTGGACTCGTTTTGAAGCAAGCAGACAACTCTCTCTCTCTCTATCTCTTCTCACAGCTTGCATGAAATGCAGCCCTGAAACCTGGGCTTAGGTTTTATGAACCTTTCCAAATTGCTCTGTGAAACCGATGTAAATGTACGCATTTTTGACAAACCTCAAGAACTGATGTGTTTTGCTTTGGTTTTATGTCACGCTGCAAACACTTTTGATGGCTCTAAATCAGAAACCTAGCCAAACTTTCTTTGCTATAGACATGGGATGGAAACTTCACAAGAAAGAAGGTTGTCTCGTGCCTTTTTTGGCACTTAGCAGGCTTTATGGAAAATATCAGCAGAGCCCTTTTTTCTCAGAAGTATTTGGATACTTCCACTCCTTCCTTGGTTAAGGCTATTTTTTTAACTGTAGATATGAATCAGAGCCTGTCTTTTGGATGGAAGGCTCATGTGGTTGTCCTTTATCTTCACTGTGTCTACAGGGCTCCTCTGCAGATGGCAAGAGGGACATCCTCTGGAGGCAGCAACTGGTGTGATGAAGACTAGGTGAATGTGGGAGGTGGGGTGCTGCTCACCGGCCTCAACTGGGCTCAAGTCGGTGGGTGAAAGGAGATGAAGGAGAAAGGAAACACTCTCCCAGGCAATTTTCTGGGAGGAATAAAATTACATAAGGAATGACTGACAAATTAGAAGCATTCTGCACCTAAGTTTAATGTGTTTGGATCTTAGGGAGGAGAAATATGTTAAGTTTCAAATTACCCACTTCACCAGTTGCTGCCTTCTCTAAAATCAAAATCAGCCTAGGCATTTGGTACTAAATCTTAAAGAAACAAATTGCTTTCTAGGGTACACTGCATTCTTAAAACAGCTTTATTTGAAAGTCCAACTGAGCAAGTTAATTTAAGTGGTGACATGGTCCGTGACAGCCGAGCACTTGTTATTGAGTCCAGTTACATATATGAGGACAAATCACACTGCCAGGTAAACTTAAGCTAAGCCTGACCTTGGGCTCTAATTCAAAGCCATCTGACGTCCATGAGAGACTTTCAATTGACTTAATGGCTCCTGAAGCAGCTCTCAGGCGACATCAGCAATCAGTGGTGGCCCCGGTTGATTTACTAGCCCCAGTGACCCATGCTCCCAGAGGAGAAAGTGCAATTTCCCCAAGTCCTCTTTCCCCCTTGCCTGGTCAGCAGCTGTTCCTGTGCCAGCCCTAGCACCACCTGCAGCTGGAGGCAGCCCTCTGCCCCAAGGGAAGCTCCTGGGGGAAACCGGTGTCTCTGGTGCCTGTATCTTATTCTGTGTCTACATATTTATATGCATTATTCCCAATAACAGAACTTCAAAAGCACAAAGAAGACATGAATCCTAGCTTTAGAGTGCCTTCAAGCTGGTATGCTTGGTCCATCCTTGAAGCTCTTGCCCATGACTTCAGTCCTTGCAGACCTGATGGCAATATAATATGTCCATTTTAGTTAACATAAGTGATCTGAAATAGCCAATTCAACATCCCCATTTAGTAATGAGACTTATTGAAGCTTATGAGCTGCCTTGGCTCGCAACACAATTAAATTTCAGGAAACAGAAAATATTCCAGTGAGGCTGGTGGATTCGTAATACTATTTGTGGCTTAATGCATAATAAAAATCTGCCATTTAAGGTTTAATATAATATGCAACAGTCCTAAATGACCAGTAAAAACATTATGCAAATTTTTAAGGAAGTTATTGCCTCCTGTAAATGATAATTTATCAATGGCTTGTATACAAAGGGCTTTCCTCATGGTTATGAACAAACAAAAATGCAGAAATGAGCAGGCCTAAGTGGGTTATAGAAACAGGAGGTCAACATAAACTGTACAGTATGAATGGTTGTGAGCTTTCTTGTCAGCCAGGGGAGTAATGTAATGCACCATTATTTTTGTGTGCTAACAGACTACATTCAGGCCCCTTAATAATAATAAAAATAAAAGATTTACTTTAAAATGATGATATTTTTAAAACATATCATCTTCAGTTTATTTTTTTATTCTTCCTCTTTTCCACTTTTAGTATTTACCAAACATTTTCAGACTTACTTGTAAATACGAACATTGGAAACAAACAAACAAATAAAAAACCTTTTATTGTCAGGAACCTTCTCATATTTGCATTCAAATATGAATTATGAAGTATAACACTGCAAGATTCTCATTAAAATGTCCAGCATTGGGGTGCTCAGGGGCCCTCTGGGGTTATCTGCTGCTGTGGCCACCTTTAGGAG